GTTTTGATTTTCATCTTCATAGATATTTGTTTTTATTGTGTGGTTCTTATTTTTTTCACATGCAGTGATCTGATCGTTTACATTTACGAAATAACAATTTTGGCAACTGGATTTATCGATACATTACCGTATTCCCATAATCAATATCTCTAAATCCCACTTTCTCTATAATTCTGAGATAAAGTGTGCTAAACTAACACAGTATTAATTCATAGAGCATGAAAATAATACTTTATTGATGCAATCGTGGTTTATTACATTCCCCCTCACTATCCAGTTCACAGTAAACATAATTTCCTTACTCGCAGACCTATATTCTCATCCACAATTTACTATTTTATTTAACGCCCCAAGTCCTCAGTCACTTCCTTATTTAACATCAGGATATTATTCTTACCTTTCTGACTCGGTTTACAAAAACTTTCCAAATATCTGTTTCTCCTTTACATAGTGTAACCAGCTGCCTGTAATATTATACTCGACATTATTATTATTACTTGACATTATTATTATTATTGTATGTCCAGTGCCGGATAAAGTTTAGTAAGGGGCGGAGGCACGGGTTAACTTTGGAACCATACGGTTTTTTAAAGTGTGTAGGTTGAAAAAGAGAGGGAGTGTGCATGTGTGTGTGTGTGTGTGTGTGTGTGTGTGTGTGTGTGTGTGTGTGTGTGTGTGTGTGTGTGTGTGTGTGCGTGCGTGTGCGTGTGTGTGTGTGTGGATACATAAATATGTATATATATGCGTGTGTGTGTGTGTGTTGTGTGTGTGCGTGCTGTGCGTGTGTGTGGGTGGGTGTGTGCATACATAAATATGTATATATATATATATATATATATATATATATATATATATATATATGTGTGTGTGTGTGTGTGTATGTGCGTGTGTGTGCGTGTGTGTAGTGTGTGTGCGTGTGTGTGTGTGTCTGTGCGTGTGTGTGTGTGTGTGTGTAATAAAAAAGTATACCTTGCGTTACAAATAACTAACGAAATTTTGTGGGTTTCCAAGACATGTGCCTCGGTTACTTCATACTTAATCCGACACTGCATCAAAATTATTGATCTTAAGCTATGTATTCAGTCAGATTAATTATATAAATGAACCAAAAATTAAATTCTTCATATACTAGTTGATTTAGTGATTTACAAGTATTACATAACTATCCTAATAACCACAGACTAGTTGATATTCTTGTTTCTAGAATGTGTGTCGAGTCTTATCATATTAATCTTTTTTCTCTCACCATTTCCTCTTTCGTTGGATCTATTTTTTCATATACACACGTATTTCTTCATTTTTCTTCTCCGATAATATAAATTGGTATGTGGAGTTCGCCCATTTCTCCATTTATTCATTTATTTCACAAAGATGACGAAGAATAAAAAGTCAAAACGGATAATAATTGAAGAAAAATTAAATAAAGAGAACACAAAATTGTAAATTTGTACGTAATAAATGATTTAAATGCAAAAAAGTCGATACATTGCTGTAACAATGCTAATGGAATATGAAAAATGGCCCAAGAAAAAAAAAGAATTATATGTTCTGGTAGTGATATAACAACGTGGAATTAGTGTGAATGAAAAGGAACAGGATTTCCAAAAAAATATACGATGAAAAAAAAAATCTAATGCCTTTATAAATCTGATATCTGTTGTGAAAACGGGGGAGAAATTTTGAAAATTGTACAAACGGGGAATCTTTTCAAGTTAGTGGATTTATAAACTTAAATACAGAGATTATGATTCGTATGGACTACTACTTACAGGGAAAATAATGAGGAAATGACACATATTCAGACCAGAAAACATAAAAAACATAAAAATCGTGATATTTTTCGTTCAAATAATAAATAAATAAAGAGTAACAATAAGCAAAGTAATATTACCAAGACCACAGAACCGCAAGGAATGTCACACAGAACGAGGAATAAGGATAATGTTGACAGATAAGGGACAGGAGAATCTTGATGAGAAGGGATACATGATAAAAGAGACCTAAAATAACATGACTTGAGAGGGAGCAGAGCCCACAGTTGACCAGAAGTTGCTGTGCAGACGGAGGGGATATCGGAATGTGATAATAAAAGGAAAATTCGATAAAAGGGAAGAAGGCAATAAGAAGGGGAAGCAGAGAAGGCATTTATTGATTTAAGGAAGGAAGGAAGGACGAGATCGGAGACAAGGGTGGTGAAAAAAAATATAGAAAATGTAAAAATGTTATTTCTTGTAGTTTTTACTTGGAAAAGAACTATAGATACAAGATAAGATTTGTGAATATAGTTGGGCATTGCAGTATCAGTAATAAATCGTATATGTAATCAGGGAAAATATTTAAATTTTCACTCTTGATATTACGGTTCTAAGCACATGTCCGTAACTTTCAAACTATTACAAACACTTTACACCAATAAAGTGGGAAATGTTTTCTCGGTCTTTTGTCTTTTTTTCATTATTTCCTTTATTCTATCTTCATTTTACCGCTGCACAATTAAGGAGAGAGAGAGAGAGAGAGAATGGGGGATGGAGGGAAAGATGGAGGGGAGAGACTGGCAGACAGGAGAGAGAGAGAGAGAGAGAGAGAGAGAGAGAGAGAGAGAGAGAGAGAGAGAGAGAGAGAGAGAGAGAGAGAGAGAGAGAGAGAGAGAGAGAGAAAAGAGACACCTGCTTCATCATCAACCTACAGAATACCTCTACACAACAGCCACTTATAATCTACACTTTTCATAAACCTCGATTTAGACTCCAAAAAACAGTTCACCGACATAATCCTCCGCAATTCTAAATCATTTAGACTGAAAAAAAAAAGTTCAGAAAAACGTAGCAATGCGTAATTTCGAAGCACAACGTTCAAATGCTTCAGTTTGAAAGGATATCGAACGCTGCCTCCAATTTCGTTCAACACCAACATTGTTAGCAAAGAGAGAGAGAAACGAGATGTCTGTCCGAAACAGGCATAATATATGCATGGGGTTCGCTGTACGTGTTAGTAAGTCAATATAACCTTGATCATGTTAAAGCTTTGAGCCGTTCAATGTGCGATTTTTTCAAGGAGAAGCTGT